CTGAGTTAGGGTCATGTCTGCTCGACGATAAGTCGTGTCTGTTCGGCACTAAGTCAAAGGCCACAGTCCCAGTCCAGTCACAGTCCCACGGGTCAGTCCTGATTCAGACCAGGAGTCCAAAAGACAGGCCCGACGGCCCAAAGCAGCAGCAGACCATGGGAAAAGATACTGGGACACACACTTTGCAACAACAGGTACTGGGCAGGAGTCCCAGACACCTGTCTCTTATACACATCTAGATGTGTATAAGAGACAGGAGCGATGGACCATCCTATGTTATTGACATACCTCCACACTTGCATACCTACCCAGTGTTCCATGCGTCAAAGCTCCTACCTTGTGTAACTAACGAATTATTTCCCAGTTGTAGATCAGCAATTCCTCCAAGTATGGATGGAAAATTTGACGTTGATAAAATCGTTGCTGAAAGTACTATCCAGACTGGATGCAGAGGTAGACCTCAGCGGCAATATAAAGTCAGATTTGCATATCAAGATCCAAGTGAAGACCGCTGCTTCAGTAGAGAGGAGCTAATGGAAACCGCACCAAACATAGTATCTTACTATGAGAGAGCAAGAAAAGGTGTCAATGTTGTGGACAGATAAAATTTTCTCAGAGGACTTTGAAATTAGGCCGGCGAGAGTAAAAGGGCCAGGCCCGTAAATGTGACCTCCGCATGAAAAAGGTCCCCTCGGCCTGAACTCAATTTCACGAACAACATTCGAAAAGACAAGTTCCTGAGGCAAATGTCGCATCCATAATGAACTGAAAACTGAAAAGCTGAGTGAGGACTCTGCCCGGCCGGGCCTCCCCTGCCGGGCTGGGCCCTGCCGGTTCGGCCCCGGGGCGCCACCCGGGTAAACTGGGCGGGACAAAAAAACGCCCAGAATTTTTTTTCTTTTTTTTTGAAACCGGGGTCGTTCTGCGCTCAGCGAGAGGACCCCGAATCTGCAATAATTTTTTGGTTTTGGTGAGGGGATGGGGGGGTTGGTCTGGGTGGGGGGTGTTGGGGTTGGAGGGGTGTCTGTGACGGGGCGCAGATGCGTTTTTTTCTTCTTTTTTTTTT